CGACTCCAAATAAACTCCTCACATCATCTTTCTCCATAAGATTTATTGATATTGCCTCTTGCATTTAGACTCCTGTTTCATCACCGACCGAGCACTCGTCATTTAGCCGCCGCCTTGGCAGTAGTCCGCCTGCCAGCCTCGTCTGCCCTCTCTCCAGTTCTCAACCTCAAACTTACAATACTTCACTCAGTCCAGCTTTACCCGGATTGTGCCGTCCCGGTGATCTCTTTACCAACGGTCCTACCAATAATCCGTTACTGGGATATGTTAGACCGAATGACTCCCAATTACCGAATCTGTCGACCGCCCGTGGCCCCAGTGCTTCCGGGTTTACAGCCTCTCCACCTACTGCCCAAAAGCAACTGGCCTCACCGACATCCACGGCAGTGGTGGTCACTGCATACTCACCAACCAGCCTGCTTCCGTCATACCCAGCTTACTCGACTGGCGGTGCACCATGCTCCTATCATGCTTCTCAGCCAATTCAATCTGGCTTTCTTGGCCAACATCATCTCCAGCATCATCTTAACGTATCGCCTCATACCCACCTTTATCACACTCAGCAATTTCCTACTGTCCAACTAGCTCAGACTTCCAGTTCTGGGCACTACAATTACCATCAGCACCATTACTTAAGTACTCAGCCGGCTTCACAATCAGCACATGCTCCTCATAATAGTACGGGTATGCGTGCTGCCTCTGCTGTTACCGATGTCAATTGTTCCGGGGCACTTCCAACGCCTCTGCAACAATCCTCTGAGAGTTCTGTCAGGCAGACCAGCTTGATTGGCCTTACTAGTGGAAATATTGCTAGTGGTAATACCACCATGGTCCAAAGCCACAAGCCTCTCACAGCTAGCCTCTTGGTTCCAGAAAATGAGATTATCAGTCAAACGAATAATCCCAATTCTCCTGGGGTCTCAACTCATATGTCACCGAATGCAAATATCCTTTCTCTGCAGCCCTCTGCTCGTCACTCTTATTCACCATCATCATCTTCTTCTTCCTCATCTTCATCTTCTTCTTTGGCATCAGCTTCACCTCTTGGACACGTCGAGGATAATCCCATTTCTAAGAAGGCTGATAATATGAGCAATATTGACCCATGCAAAGTCGCTGATTTCGCCATAAATAAAACGTGTGGCCTCACAAGTCAACTAATTAATTCTTCCTCAGCGAATACTCTAACCTCTTCACCTCGGCAGATTGATCATATCTCTACAACTGCAATCACTGCGGCACCACCACCACTACTTCTACATGCTCCTGTGCCCTTACCACCACCTCCACCCTTACCATCCACTTGGGGAGGGGCAAACTCACCTTCATCGCCACAATCCTGGCGAGCCCGCTTGACCAGCTTCAAGTTCTTCCTCGGTTCACCTAGGTTTCATCGGCGAAAAGCAACCACACTGAGCGGTGCCTCTTCTAGCGGCGAGACACCTCCAGGAAGTCCTCAGTTCACAGGTGGTTTGTCGGAACGAGCAGATGTTGCGATTTCTGGCCGAGGGGGACGCTTTCAAAACTTGAATGGAGCGAGCAGTCGTCCTTCAACAGGCCAGACTCCCGAGGCTTCTCCTTTGTAGGTCTATACACAAAGCCGGATATAGTAATCCCAGAAAGTAGCAATAAAGATGAGACTCACAGAAACTTATTTTATATGACTATTAAATGTTTAACAAAAATATTTTAATGAAAGATCTGAAGACCAAGATGGTACGATCTTTACTATGGTCTTTTTGTTGTGTAGAACTGGTTTAACCTCATTATCGCAACTAGATAACGTACTTTCTCTGAATCATCTGCCAGAGTAATTTCCATGATAATTTCCAGCGTCAAGCCATGGACTTGGTACATCACCAGACATATCGCC